GCTGTGTCACCAGGCTGGAGTGCAGTGGTGATATGTCCGCTCACTGCAACCTCCGCCTCCCGGGTTCAAGCGATTCTCCTGCCTCAGGCTCCTGAGTAGCTGGGATTACAGGCATGCACTACTACACCTGGCTAATTTTTTATATTTTTGGTAGAGACAGGGTTTCACCATGCTGGCCAGGCTGGTCTTGAACTCCTGAACCTCAAGTGATCTGCCCACCTAGGCCTTCCAAAGTGCTGGGATTACAGGTGTGAGCCACTGTGCCTGGCCCCAACCTGCCTTTGAGGTCGTGATACCTCTTCCTTTTGTCTGAAATCTCCCTCTGCCCTTCTCTTATAAGGACACTTTTCACTGGATTTAGGGTCCATCCAAATAATGCAGGATGATCTCCTTATCTCCATATCCTTAATTATACCTGCAAAGACCCCTTTTCTGAATAAGGCAACATTCACAGGTTCCAGGAATTAGGACATGGACCTATCTTTTGAGGGATCACTGTTCAACCCACTACAGATTTTGAATAAGCTGCAAATGTGAAACGGACAGTGTTTTCAAATGAGTAAAAAGTCATACTGGAAAGAAATATACCATGGCATTATAGACAGCAGAAAATAAAAACCAAACCTTTTAAAACACATATATTTAATGTACAGAATTGGAAAAAGGACTTCTTGATAATAAACATATTTCATGTAAACACAAGCTTTCAGTATCTATGAATATTTCATTGCAAATACACTCAAAGTTACGTCTTCTCTACATAAAGGAGAAACTCCAAGTTCTGTTCTTTAGGAAGACACGGAGGGCAAGCAACACCTTAGGAGCAGCCATTGCTATTTCTCCCCTTTCCTTGGGTGACCTAACATTTTACAGGGACTAATGACATAAAGAAATATCAGATTCCATTGAGTTTAAACACAAATTTCCCACTGAGGGAATGAAATATTTGATGCTTGTATGAATAAATAATTAAATATTAGGTACAAAGCAGATTCCAAAACCAACTGAAGTATGAAAACAAATTGGCATGGATACGTAACAGTAAAATTAAATTTCACTACTGAGTATGCTACACGCTTCCTTCTCTATTCCAGTGGGTTCTCTTTTTTTGTGTAAGGTCTTTTCTGGCTGGACTCTAAGACAGTCATTGCTTAACATCACCAGGATTTTTGTCAGGAGATTTATTTTGGAAATAAACCAATTTCTTTTTTATTAAAGACCAAGGTTGTCTTTTTTGCTACATGCTTCTTTCCACTACATATTGACTCCCTGATGTAAGAAAATGTACAGGGTGAGAGCAAGTACTCTATGTTGGCTGTCCCGCAGTGTAATGACTGGTTAATAAGAAAGTCACTCAGCCTGGGCAATATAGTGAGGCCTCGTTTCTGCAAAAAAATTAGCAAAGCATGGTGACACGCACCTGTGGTCCTAGCTACTTGGGAGGCTGAGGCAGGAGGATCACTTGAGCCCGGGACACAGAGGTTGCAGTGAGCCAAGACTGTGCCACTGAACTCTACTATAATCCGGGTGACAGAAGGGGACCTTGCCTCAAAAATACTACTACTACTAAAGGAGCCACTCGTTTAATCCTTTTCTCATCTGGTCTCATCCAAAGAGTAAGTCAAAATCATCAAGGTCACAAAGGACTTATGACCAAGGTACAACTCTGCAAATATCTTTAACTGGCCATGGCTTCGTTTGATCCCTTCCCACTTATTAGAAGACTCTAAGGAACAGATGCTGCAGCCTAGTTCAAAGAAGTACACACATACTTCAGGAAAGTGGACCAAAAAAGAGGAAGACACAGAATACAAGAAAGAGTTGACAAAGCAAATCTAATAAAAAGTATGGTTGGCTTGAACAGTCATTGGTATAAATTCCTTATGATTCTACTTTTTGACAGGCTCCTCCTTTTGACTACTGAGCAATTAAGATATTTTCAGTCGTTTCGATTCCTTTTCCACACCGTCTCTAATGTTCTGTAGTTTTCTGGAGTTCTGAACCAGGGACACTAAACTCTCCCTAAAATCACTAGTCCCATGATCTCTGCCAACATTTTGAAGCTCATCAAAGAAAGTCAACGTCTGTTTGAGTTTGGCCTGAACAATTTTTTGCTCTTCTAATTCTGCAAGAAGGGCCTGCTTAGTACATAATTCAGTCTTGTACTTCTCCTGTAACTGTTCAATTTCTTTCTGGAGATGCTGAAAATCTTCCTCACTATAAGGTGTTTCCTTACATTTATCTTCAGGAAGCAAGATGTTTGAGGGAATACGTAAAATCAGCTGCAAAAACAGTTGCTCCATTTTGCTAAAAAGGTTATCAAAATGTCCTTTCATGAAGCAAAGAAACTTCTCTGTGCATTTGCGAATCTGCACTGGGCTAATATCACAGTCTGGGATGCCATCCAGTTTCTTCAGAATAACCTGTTCAACGGCCTGCATCACTTCAAATAGGTAGTCTTGAAATGCAATGTAGATCCGAAGCATGCATGTTTGTGGCGTGAAGCCAAAGAACTGGGCCTCATAGGTCATTGGATCCACAGACATCTTGGCTTATTTTGCTATGTTATTTTCAGGTGTGAAAAACCTGTAAATGTAAAAAGGAAATAATTCATTTGGAAAAAAAATATTCTGCAGGATAACAAATCACATTACAGATAGCAAACAAAGCAGCAAATAAACAAAAAATAAGGAGTTTGTTTTCCTTTATACCTGATGCCACTTCCACAACAGAATATAAACTCTTGCCTCTCTGAGGCTCCTTCCATCAGCTTATACTCTCCCTTTTCCCCTCCTCATTGTTCACTTCCCTTACCTGTGACTTTGGCACAGATCAGTCTTCTGAATTACCATCCTAGAAAACTTTAAAGTCTAAACAGATGACTTAACCAATGCCCTAGAGATTCAGTTTCTTGAGCTTCAATGACCTATAGCTCCACCTTTTAGCCACCTGGCTCTTGATATTTGTAACCACTCTTCCAAACTGCTCCTACTTTTTGACTACCACCTCCTATAAAATTCTTCCAATTCTTATATACTCATATTACACCCTAATCTTCAAGACTTACAGCCCCTCCACCCTCTCTTTCTGTTCTCAGCCTCTCCCACTTCTCTTCTTTCCTTATTTATTTTAGGCCTCATGATCTATCATTTTGATCACTCCACTGCTGATGTCCTCAATTTGCTTGTTCTCCAACCAAGCCATATGAAAAAACCCCAGTTAGAAGATGAGTAAGTCCCTTGTCAGCTTTATAACCCTGACATGTTTTTTTAAGGGTCTGCAAGCAATTCCTCTCAAATATAAACATCTAGGAAAATAAACCCCTATCTCCTTGCCATTGTGGGAATTCAACTTAGGCATCTTTTTCTGAGATGAAATGATATGCTTGTCATAGAAATAAGAGACGTTTTATTATTCAGATAAAGGCAATTAGCTAAAACAAACTGCTACTTCAATTATCAGGTGAATTTAGAATGCACTTTATGAAATAATTTGCAATAAGCAGTACAGTCAAATCTTCTTATGGGAAGATGCAGCTGATCTTAAGAATTTATGTTTGTAGGCCGAGCACGATAGCTCATGCCTGTAGTCTCACCACTTTAGGAGGCCGAGATGGACAGATCACCTGAAGTCAGGAGTTCAAGACCAGCCTGGCCAACATAGCAAAACCCTATCTCTACCAGAAATACAAAAATTAGCCAGGCGTGGTGGTGGGCACTTGTGATCCCAGCTACTCGGGAGGCTGAGCCAGGAGAATCACTGGAACCCGAGGCGGAAGTTGCAGTGAGTCGAGATCGCGCCCCTGCACCCTAGCCTGGGCAACAGAGTGAGACTCCATCTCAAAAAATAAAATAAAATAAAATAAAAATTTACGTTTGTAATGGCTAAATATAGAGTGGTTATAATTGTTTGGCCGTATATGTAAGGTAGGATTTCTGGTTTTTTTTTTTTTGTGAGACGTGTTCTGGCTCTGTCACCCAGGCCGGAGTGCAGTGGCATGATCACGGATCACTGCAGCCTCAACCTCCCGGGTCCAAGCAATCCTCCCACCTCAGCCTCCCAAATAGCCAGAACTACAGGTGCAGGCCACCATGCCTGGCTAATTTTCTTGTTGTTGTTATTTTTGTTTTTGTTTTTTGAGACAAAGTCTCACTCTCTCGCCCAGGTTGGAGTGCAGTGGTATGATGTTGGCTCACTACAACCTCGGCCTCCTAAATTCAAGTGATCCTCTTAGCTCAGCCTCCCACGTAGCTGGGATTACAGATGTGCGCCATCTCTAACAACAAAAAAATACACTTCCTTGATTAACTCCTTCCTTTGAATTCCCATCAGGACCTCTCTTCGGGCACTGGCTGATAAACTTCTACCGCCTCATCTTCTCTGCTAGACTTCGAGTTCCTGAAGGCAGAATAAATGTGGTTTGATCAGTATTTGCCGATTCAACGCAGAGGTGCCCAGGCCATCTCAGTGAGTTAAGCGAAGACCCGGCGATCGCGCTGGACAGGACCCAGAAGCCAGAGCGCCGGAACTTCCGGCCGGCTCCCGGCATCCGTCGGGCCTCAAGCCCGCGCTGCATGCTGGGACCTTCAGGTTGGAGCCCGCTGTAAGGCCAACCCACGGGCCGCCGCGCTCCCTCGCGATGCCGCCTAAGCCAGTCTCGCCCGTCCCCGCTTCTCCTCAGAGAAAATGCTGCCCCGCAGTACTTACCGGAGCGACCATGAGGGTCACGAATACGAGCGCACACAGGCTTCCCGCCACCTCCTTTAAACCGCCGCTGGCTTGCCAGCGACAGACGGCGCGGTTGGCTCCCCAAAATTCCGACTGATACGCGCCTCGGCGAGCGAAAGTAAACGCGGGATACTCTCGCGTTCCTGATTGGCTGGTTGGGGACACCTCAATTATGACAGAAAGGGGCCGGGCGGGAAAGTTAGCTGTGGCCGGCGGGGATTGGCAGAAGGAACCTGTACTTACTCGCTTTTCCCGGACGTTGGCTGGTGGAGAAGCCAGGATGGGGAGATGGAGCGCTGGGGGGGCGGCGGCGACGCAACTCGTGATTGGCGGATGTGCCTTCCTTAAGTCTCTACGGATTGGCGGCTGACCGATTGCTTGGCGTTGATTGGGCAGCCGAGGGAACCCTAAAGCGGGCGCGGGGGAGGCCTTTGTCCCGCCCAGCCGCCGGGGCCTGCTGGCGGAAGGGGAAGTGAGGGGGGCAGGCGACGGTGGGGAAGATGGCGTACCAGAGCTTGCGGCTGGAGTACCTGCAGATCCCACCGGTCAGCCGCGCCTACACCACGGCCTGCGTCCTCACCACCGCCGCCGTGGTGAGCAGCTGCAGTGCCACCTTCTCATTATCTGGGCTGGATATGACTGGGTCTTCAGGAAACTGGGGTTTGGGCTTCGGGGAGGCCCAGAGGGGCTGGTCCCAGGGATGGGTGGAGACGTACAGGGATTACTCTGGGGTTCGAGTTGGCGCCGAGAATGCTTATCCAGTGACCTGAGAAGGGAGTGCTGCTTCATGGGGGGTCAGGTCAGTTTCTAAGAGATGAGGGCCGGACCTATACCGGGTTAGGGTTGCGGGAGCCTCCCACCCGAGAAATGTGTCCGAGAGCTCTGCCAATGGCCAGGTGGTACCGTGGTGACTAGTGAGAGGAAGGTCCGTTTTATGAAGAAACAGGAATGAGGAAAGCAAGGTGGAAACTGTCCAGAGGGGAGTGGCTTATAATAAAGAGGGTCTCTGGGTAACAAAGGGCTAGCTGGAGGTACCCAGCCCTAACGGTGGCAGGGTCTCGAGTCTCCGTTATTTCAAGTGAGTTTTGTTGTTTCACACGGCTGTTTCAGGTGGTGCCCATGTGGTGGGTAGATTCATAGCAGCTGTTTTTATTTGTCCTGTGTCTAAAATATCACCACCTGTCTGCCTCATTTCTTCATGTCAGCCTCAACTATTGCAACATAAACTTTTTTGTGTTAGGTATTGAGGATACAAAGAATTCTACCAATTCTAGAGAATTCTTTACCAACCTCTTCCTCTGGCCTAAGAAGAAAGGCTTAAAGAAAATCAGTAATTGACCGAGAGTTGGAAATTGCTAGACCTACTAATCCTTTGTTGTAAATGATGAAATTTTGTTTCTTGGTTGATTTGCTTTAAGAAGCTCTTTTTCTATTTCAGCAGTTGGAATTGATCACACCTTTTCAGTTGTACTTCAATCCTGAATTAATCTTTAAACACTTTCAAGTAAGTGGTTCATCACAATAGTGATTAATGCTTCAGTTTCTTCTTTTACTTACTGTTTAGTAGCAAATCCCGTTGTACACTATCCTAAAAAAGAACCCCGTGGGGGACCTTTGATTATAAGTTGTCTTGTCAGGATGTAAAGCAGTGATTCTGCAGCCTGGTTGGACTTGAGAATCCCTTAGGGAACTTTGAAGAGATTCCCAAGCTCCTCAACAAGTACCAAATCAGAATTTGCAAGGGTAGGAATTAAAATCTGTGTTTCATTTTTAAAGTTCCCTGCATCGTTTTGACGTGTCCAGTTCCTGTATTCGGAAATCACTGGTTTAGACTTAATGTTGTAGTATGAGAGGAGAGTGACCAGCTAGCTGCTTAGGGGTTGTCTCTGCAGGGATGGCCTTATTTTGTCCATTCACCACCTAGGCACACCCACCACCTTGGTGTTATCATGATGGTCCAGAAACTCAATTCTGTTAGTGCTTTTAAATTGTGATCTGTCTTCCAGTGATCAGATCATACTAACAAAATTCCAAACATCTAAAGCTACGTGGTGGTTTATTAGATTACAGTGGGAGATGGTCCTTTCCGGTGATTAAAATGTCAAAAGAGGCTGGGCGCAGTGGCTCACGCCTGTAATCCCAGCACTTTGGGAGGCTGAGGCAGGCAGATCACCAGAGGTCAGGAGTTCGAGACCAGCCTGGCCAACATGGTAAAGCCCTGTCTCTACTAAAAATACAAAAATTAGCCGGGCGTGATGACACATGCCTGTAATCCTAGCTACTGGGGAGGCTGAGGCAGGAGAATCACTTGAACCTGGGAGGTGGAGGTTGCAATCAGCCGAGATTATGCCAGCCTCTGAGACAAGAGCGAAACTCTGTCTCAAAATGCTAAAAGAAACATGGATTTTTCTGTTCCAAGATGATCTTACAGACCATAGTTGGAGTAGGGGAGAGACCCAAAAGCCAATAATTGTGCCTCTACACATGCTGTTCCCTCTGTCTCAAATGTGTTTCATTCACTTTATACCCATTGAACTCTGGCTTGCCTTTCAAAACTCAGCTTTTGTGTAACCTTTATGTACTCATCCTCCTTTGTTTTAGAGCATCTCTCACCTTTACTTTGCAGTTATGTGTATGCTTGTCTCCTCACTAGGATAAGGACTCTAAAATCTGGATAATTAATATGTAGAACTGAATTGTTTCAAATTTAATAGTTACCAATTCTCAAGAATTTAGTGATTTGTAAAGGAGTCCTGTCATCCCTTGTCACTGTGTTCCCACAATACTCACATGGAGCTGTAGTTCCATGCAAGTAAGTCTTGCTTCCTACTTGGCTTGCTTGGTTTTACTCTGCCTGGGGTTAAACTGTTAAACTCTTGATGACATTTGGAGTTAGGACTTTGAGATTTGCCATCAGTCTCCATCTACTCCTGCGGGTCCTTGGTCAGGACATTTAAAAGTTCAACTTTCAGCTGAATAACTAGTGTTCAGCTAGTAGTTCAACTTTTAGCTGAATAACTAGTATCAGCTAGTTATTCAACTTTTAGTCTTTTAGTTTCCTATCTGTGAATTAACTTGCTTGTCTCACAGGATCACAACAGATAGTAGACATTTTAAAATGTTAAGCACTCTACCATTGTGAGTGGTTACTGTGGGTGTGGAGAGGTTGGGTAGGGAAGGGTGTATCAGGGTTTCCAACAAGAAAATGAGTGTTTGGCCGGGCGCAGTGGCTCACGCCTGTAATCCCAGCACTTTGGGAGGCTGAGGTGGGTGGATCATTTGAGGTCAGGAGTTTGAGACCAGCCTGGCCAACATGATGAAACCCTGCCTCTACTAAAAATAAAAATACTAGCCTGGTGTGGTGGTGCACACCTGTAATCTCAGCTACTTGGGAGGCTGAGGCAGGAGAATTGCTTGAACCTGGGAGGCAGTGAGCTGCGATTGTGCCACTGTACTCCAGCCTGGGCGACAGCGAGACTCTGTCTCAAAAAAAAAGGAAAAAGAAAATGAGTGTTCTTGTATCTCCCAAGTAGACTGTAATTATTAGAGCATTAGTTCTTACAGGGAGTTGGCCATTTGTTCAGATTAGAACTTGGGTATTTGCCTTAGAATTTTCCCTTCTGGCCAGGTGCAGTGGCTCAGGCCTCTAATCCTAGCACTTTGGGAGGCTGAGGTGGATGATCCCTTGAGGCCAGGAGTTTGAGTCAGCCTGGGCAACATAGTGAGAACCTGTCTCTATTTTTTTTTTTTTAAGTTTTAATTAAAAAAAAAAAGAATTTTCCTTTCTTTTTGATGTTTCTGACTGCCTGATGTAAACATTTCTCAGCAATTTATATTAGACCCTGAAGTTTTTCTCTGGTATGTCAGTTCTATTTATTATATGATGATACTACACACGAAAGCACTGTTTTCTGTTCGGCAAATTAACCTAGCCTTCCTACCAAACTTTCTCGATAAGATGATCACAATTTAAAATTTTCTGTCCTATTATTATAAATGTCACAGTCACAATGATGTCTTTCAGACTTTGAACTAAAAGCAGCAAAAAAAAAAAATCTAACATCAGATTATGTGCCCCTGTTTTTGTTTCAGAACAGAATATCACTCTGTCCAAGGCTTCTCAACCATCGCAGTCATAGGATGTATCTTTTGTATTAATATGGAACTGTTTCCTGGTAATTTATTTTACTTAATACATCTTTCTCTTGATTTTTTTTTAACAGATATGGAGATTAATCACCAATTTCTTATTTTTTGGGCCAGTCGGATTCAATTTTTTATTTAACATGATTTTTCTGTATCCTTTATTAAATGGGGTCAGCATCAAAACTTTCTTTTCTTAGGAAGTAAAAAATTAAGTTGAAACTTTTAATCCTGTTACTTGTTTTTGGTACCATCTTAGCTGTAATTTCTGGGTCGGTGGTACATAAAGTAGTTGGTTAGGTAGTAATGTTTTGAAAATGTTTGTAGGTCACTGTTTGTTCAAATGGGAGGTTTTAACCATAAAAAGATAGCACCTCTGCTTTTTTGTTACTTACAAATCTGATCAAGGGAGGGGAGAATTGATTTGAGGCATACCTCCACAGTAACACCAACAGGTACAAAGCGGTAAAACAACCTGAATACAATGATAATTTAGCAGAATTTGGGCATAAGTTTTGGAGTGGGTTCATGAGGAGTGGAAACTTGAGATCTCCTTGGGTGGTGGTTGCTGGAACTACTGGCTGAAAGACAGTGATTGTGTCTGCTGGGCTTGTCAAGTTCCAGTTTGTTGAAAGGAAAACCCCAGCTCTGATCCAGTGGCAATTGGGGCCACAGAGCAGGGCATTCCTCCTCCACCCCTGCCCTCTTTATGAAGAGGGAGTTACAGTTCAGCTCATCTGCAGCTGCATTCCTTCCCGAGGATGGCAGGAATCCATTTTAAGTCCTGTGTAGTATATCATTCTGAGAAGTTTCCAGTAAAGTTTTTTCTCCTCATGATTCATCTTTATTGACTGAGGTGCTCAACCTGCCAGGCCTGGAAAAGTAGTGTAGCACACAAGGCTTCTTGCTGCGGATTTCTTCCAAGTTAGGACGTGGAGAAGCAAAGATGGTGCAGATTAAGGTGTGGCTGAGCACAGGAAAGACAATACAAATTTTTAAAGGTTTAGTAGGGGACTGGAGGGCCGGGTGTGGTGGCTCACACCTGTAATCCCAGCACCTGGGGAGGCCAAGGTGGGTGGATCACGAGGTCAGGAGTTTGAGACCAGCCTGGTCAATGTGGTGAAACCCGCTCTGTACTACAAAAATTAGCCTGGTGTGGTGGTGCACAACTGTAATCCCAGCTACTCAGGAGGCTGAGGCAGGAGAATCGCTTGAATCTGGCAGGCAGAGCTTGCAGTGAGCCGAGATTGTGCCATTGCACTCCTGCCTGGATGACAGAGCGAGACTCTGTCTCGAAAGGAAAAAAAAAAAAAAAAGGATAGGGGACTGAAAGCATGTCTGTGTGTCATCTGTATTAGTTCCCAGCCAGGGACAGTTTGTTAAAAATGATGCTGGTCTTGACCTTTTCTAAAATGCTTGGTAAAAGAGTAATCACATTACCACTCAAACATTCTTACACAAATGAAGACTTGACTTCTTACAAATAATATGGAATCCAAGTGTACTTACAAGATAACATTAAGTTTTTACTTTGTTCATATTCGTGTGCTGAATATTTTCTTAACTTGGAACTTAAGATATCGTTACTGTCGAATGCTAGAAGAAGGCTCTTTCCGAGGTCGGACAGCAGACTTTGTATTTATGTTCCTTTTTGGTGGATTCTTAATGACCGTATCCTTCAACAAATAGAAAACCTACGGGAGAATGTTGAAGAACACCCTGGCTCTTCCTAAAACTTGTCCTCTGTCTCCCACAATTCTCTAGATATTCGGAACAAACAGATAAAAGTAGATCTCCAGACCTTAGCTTCAGGGCGCTATCATTTATTTTACAGCACATTTTCTGTGACAAGTTTCCAAGCCTAGCAGTCGGACAGGAAGAGCAAGTCACAGGAACTTTTAACCCAGGTGGGTTCCTGTTAAGCATCTCAGTTATATCATTGCTGCTTGGCGTACTTCACTTTTAAACTAAGTTGGTAAGACATTTACTTGGTGGCTTTCAAAACCAATAAATTATTTTTCAGAAAAAGAATTTTCATCTATACAATAGACTTAGATATGGTACGGTCCGACAAGATGGTTTTATTCCAGCTAGCTTTATTCACCTCTGTAAAGGTGCTAATCGTGAGCAAGCTTTAATATAATTATTGAACGAAGAATTAACACATTTTCCAAAGAGGCAAGAACTTCATGAAAGCAGAATTATTTGTTTGAAGTAGCTGTAAATCTCAATAATTTAGCCTAAGCAGATTTTTGCCTGATTGCTCTGGGTAATTATTTTCTGGGTTTTGTTTTTTTCCTTCTCTTCTAAAGATGTAACAACTTGACTTTTCCAATTCAAACTTTTGTTAGAACACAATCTTTAGTTCTCCTGCTCAGTCTTCCCTATTAAACTTTTCATGTTGATATTTTCCTTAATGTCATCTGCTAGCTTTTTGGTCTGTTTGTGAGCTTAGTTTTCTTGGGCCAGGCCTTTACAATAATGCTCGTCTACGTGTGGAGCCGAAGGAACCCCTATGTCCGCATGAACTTCTTCGGCCTTCTCAACTTCCAGGCCCCCTTTCTGCCCTGGGTGCTCATGGGCTTTTCCTTGTTGTTGGGGAACTCAATCATTGTGGACCTTTTGGGTAAGGCTCTTCTCACTATTTTTTAAGTCATTTTACCTGTAAAAGTATTTTACCACTATTTTTCATGTTTATTCTGTTTGGCCTTCATGTATTACCTATTGTAAAATACTACAATATTAGTTCATTAATTTTTAATAATTATGTTGACATTCATCCTAAATGTAGTCGATTTATGTTGGTAGGTCTACCTGCCATCTAAATTTTAATTCTCTCCCTCATCCTTTATTTCTGCTTGACTCTAGGTATTGCAGTTGGACACATTTATTTTTTCTTGGAAGATGTATTTCCCAATCAGCCTGGTGGAATAAGAATTCTGAAAACACCATCTATTTTGTGAGTATTTTAACACCAGGTTACATACTCTTACAGGCAAACCAGGACAGAGGGCATGATCTGTGTTTTCTTCGGCTCCCCTAGCTCCTAGTACACATAGTTCAGGTCAGTAACTATTTGCAGATTGAGCAGTCTGGCTGCAGTTGAACAGCACTTGGATTGGGTAGGAGCAGACAGTGCCAGGGTTGTGGCAAGAGCAAGGTTAACAGGCTCAGGATATCTTGGGAGTAACCTGGTAATCGTTGTTCCAGATGACCACTAGAACTTCCTATTCCAGGAGGAGCCTGCTGGTTTTATGAAAGCCACTGTCCACGTTTAGTGAAGTAAGGTAGCAAAATGGGCAAAACTGATGAAAGTTTCTGATGGTGGACTTTGTGACCTGCCGAGCAGGTGGTTGAGATAAGAAGTGAAGCAGAGTGCAAATAGCTTTGGACTGGAAACCAGGTGTACCTGTCCCACTGACCAGCCATAGAGCAAGTCCCTTCTTTTTTGCAATTCAGTTTCCTGAGGTAGAACTTTGATTTCTTTCTTTCTTTCTTTCCTTCTTTTTTAAACATGGGGTCTCGTTCTGTCACCTAGGCTGGAGTGCAGTAGAACTTTGATTTATGAGACCTCTTTCTACTCTGGAATTTGGTATCCTTGGGAGATGCCATATTAAAAAGGGCTCAATTGAGAAGTAAAATGTGAGTTTTTGTTATAAAATGTTTGTTGTAGACTAGTTAAGCAAAAAGAAGAAAGTGAAATTGTCCACACTTGGGTATAGCAGTGGCTATCATTGTTAACTTTTCAGTGTGTATTCTTCAGTCTTTACTGTCTGTACTTTCTAAAAAACGCTGAGCCAGTCAAGGCCATAGTGCACTATGACTGCGCCTGTGAATAGCCACTGCTCTTCTTGGGCCAGGCCTTTAACATAGCCACTGCATTCCAGCCTGGACAACATAACACATTCCTGTAATCCCAGCACTTTGAGAGGCGAAGGCAGATGGATCACTTGAGCTCAGGAGTTTGAGACCAGCCTGGGCAACGTGGCAAAACCCCATCTCTACAGAAGCTGCAAATGGTGGCACATGCTTGTAATCCCAGCTACTTGAGAGGTTGAGGTGGAAGGATTGCTCGAGCCCAGAGGGGTTGAGGCTGCAGTGAGCCAAGATCGCACCACTGCACTTTGGGCTGAGGGACAGAGTGGCACCCTGTCTCAAAAAACAATTTTTGTAACCTTGTAAACTTAATATGTCAGAATTGTTTTTTCCATCCTAAAGTGTTATAAAATTATAACAGGTGATATTCCATGGTATGGATATGGCGTAATTTTACTAATCCCTTACTGATGGACATTGACATTAGTGCTTGGTTTTCTCGTCTATAATTGGAGTGGTGAATATCCTTGTAGCTAAATCTCTGCACACATCCATGATTATTTTCAAAAGATAATTCCTAGAAGTGGAATTGCTATTTTGTTGCCAAACGCCTTCCAGAATGGATGTTCGAGTTTACATTTCAACTAGCATTTGTAACTGTTCATTTCTGCACATCCTCATCAAACAAGGGAGACATTTTATTTACCCTTTCCTAGTTGAATAGTTATAGGATGATGTCTCATTGTTTATGATTTTTAAAAAATGTTTTGAAACAATTTCAGTCCTCCAGGAAATTACATATGCAGTACAGGGTCTCACTCCATTGTCCAGGCTGGAGTGCAGTGGTATGATCATAGCACACTGTTAACTCAAACCCCTGGGCTCAAGTGATCTTCCCGCCTCAGCCTCCTGAGTAGCTGGGACTACAGGTGCACACCACCAACCTCTGCTTATTTTCTTTCTTAAATATTTTTTTTTGTGGAGACGAGGTCTCTCTATGTTGCCCAGACTAGTCTCAGACTCCAGTCCTCAGGTGATCCTCCTGTCTCTTGGCCTACCAAAGCACTGAGATTACAGGTGTGAGCCACTACAGCCCACTTTTTATTTTGTTTTATTTTTTGCAATTGTTTTCTGGCACAACAAGATATACCAGGCTCATCCTGTGCTCTCCTTGATCCAGTCCTAGAATCAGCTGTTTCTTCAAGGAGCCCTGGTTCCTTTAAAGTGGAGAATGGTATTTAGAAGCCAAGATCTGGGTGCTAGATGTGCTCATTGCTATTGGAGTGTTGCTATTCCCAGATCCTCTCAGTGAACAGAGCAGTGGAATTATATGTATGTATGTATGATAATGTATACAAATGTATATTTTTAGATCTATGTATTTTTTAAAACATGGGTTTATACTATACTCCCATTTCTAGTACTACCTCATGGTTCGTTCTAGCTTTTTTCTTATTTGTTTCCTCCAGTATTTTATTATGAAAATTTCCAAACTTATAGGAAATCAGAAAAAAATTGGAGTGAGCTTCATGTAGCCACCACATAGATTCTGTAATTAATAGTTCCCTATTCTTTTTGCACACCTATCCCTACATCTAGCTTTCCAATCCAAAATGTATGTGCCATTATATGTATACTTAATTCCTTGTATACTTGAGTATGCATATCAGTAACTAGAGTTCAGTATTTATGTGCAACAAAATAAATCTTGAGTATGTCAACTGAGTTTCTATAAATACACACTTCTGTGTATCTATCAAGACAGAAAATTACCATCAATCAGAACGTTCCCTGATATCCTTCCTTGTCAGTCATTGCACCTGTCCCCCAAGAAGCAATTGCTATTCTGATTTTGTTCCTCTGTAGATTAGTTTTTCATGTTGTGCAGCTTCATGAGTAGAATCGTACAGTATACATGTACTCTTTGGTAAAAGGCTTCTCTCATTCATTCAACATAATGTTTTTGAGACTCATCTGTGTTCTTGTATTTATTGGTAATTTGTTCCTTTTTATTGCTGAGTATTATTTGGTTGTGTGAATGTACCACTGCTTTCCATCTGCCCTTTCCATCTGTCCTAACCTGATTCTTACTATGATTAATGTTTTACCTACCTAATTACCCCTCATATGTAACCAGTCTTTTGTGATAGTCTCCACCTCCCCCATATGGATGCCTTGCTCGTCTCACTCACCCTCAGATTCCCCAGACCAGGCTGCCCTCTTACGGGGATACCTCCCCACCCTACTCAGGCTAACATCTCGTCGGGCCACCTCCATGTGTGCATGGTCTGATGGGGCTCTTGACTCCCTATACCAGGCTGTGCCCCCACCCCCATCCTGCTAATGTTTGGGCAGTAGAAGGGGTCTCAGTTTGTTTTTGTTGTCATTGCTAAGGATTCTCACTCTGTTGCCCAGGCTTGAGTTCAGAGGCTCAGTCTCGGCTCACTGCAACCTTCGCCTCCCGGGTTCAAGCGATTCTCCTGCATCAGCCTCCTGAGTAGCTGGGATTACAGGCATGCGCTACGACACCCGGCTAATTTTGTATTTCTAGTAGAGATGGGGTTTCGCCATGTTGGTCAGGCTGGTCTTGAACTCCTGACCTCAGGTGATCGGCCTCCCAAAGTGCTGGGATTACAGGCATGAGCCACCACACCTGGCCGGGATCTCAGTTTCTAATGTACTTTCCTTTGATTATTGTGAGAGCAAACATTCTCACGTTTATTGACCATATGGATTTCCTTTTTGAATTGCCTATTCAGCCCTTTGCCCATTTTTTTCTGTTGGTTTGTTTTTATTGTTAATTCATAAGAATTTTAAAAACTCATTTTGAAGTATAGTTTTTCTGACTCCAGTATAAATTAGAAGTTTTCAAATACATTTCTAATTATATCAACTGTGGGGGATTACAAGTAGAAATATAAGTGCAAATTGAGGATGCTGCTTTTAATGGTTCCTTCTTTAGTGAGGTTTTGAATTACTACATCCTAGTACTTAGAGAGTCTTTTGGACATTTACTATCTCCTCCTATGTTCTGCAGTAATTTTTCTTGGGATACCTTGTGAATTTTTTAAAACTTTTGTAGTAAAATAATACCTAACATAAAATTCACCATCTTAACTCATTTTAAATGTTCAGTGGCATTAAGTATATTCATACTATTTTGCTGCCATCACCACCATCCATAGAACTCTCTTCATCCTGCAGAACTGCAACTCTGTACTCATTAAACAACTCGCCACCCCAGCCACCACCATTCTATTTTGTTTCTCTGAATTTGACTACTCTATGTACCTCATAAGTGGAATCATACAATATATGTCCCTTTTTGTCTGGCTTATTTCATATTTCATTTAGTGTAAAGTCCTCAAGGTTCATCCATGTTGTACCATGTGTCTGAATTTCCTTTTTTTTTTTGAGACAGTCTTGCTCTGTTGCCAGGCTGGAGTGCAATGGAGCAATCTCAGCTCACTGTAACCTGTTCCTCCCAGGTTCAAGCGATTCTCCTGCCTCAGCCTCCTGAGTAGTAGCTGGGATTACAGGCATGCGCCACCGTGCCAGGCTAATTTTTGTATTTTTGGTGGAGACAGGGTTTTACCATGTTGACCAGGTACAGTAGCTCATGCCTGTAATCCCAGCATTTTGGGACGCTGAGGTGGGCAGATCACCTGAGTTCAGGAGTTCGAGACCAGTCTGGCCAACATGATGAAACCTCGTCCCTCCTAAAAATACAAAAATTAGTTGGGCATGGTGGCGGGTGTCTGTAATCCCAGCTACTCGGGAGATTGAGGCAGGAGAATTGCTTGAACCCAGGAGGTAGAGGTTGCAGTGAGCCAAGATCGCACCACGGCACTCCAGCCTGGGCAACAGAGCGAGACCCCATCTCAAAAAAAAAAAAATTCTGTAATATGTATGTACCATATTTTGTTCATTCACCTGTTGATGGACACTTGGGTGATACCTTGGTTATGGGGAGACATTAATGATAAATATGTGAAAGTCAGCTTACAAAAGTAGTGTGATCTTACTTTTGTAAAATTACATAATGTAAAAGTTCCCAAAGAATAACTGAAACATTGACAATAGTTACCTCTGGGAATTTAGGATATTTTGCTAATCTCTTGTTTTCTCCTTCTCTATAATTATTATGATTTGGGTTGCTTTTCTAGTAAAAATCAGTGAAAGATAAAAGCTAATGTAAATGTTAATAATTATAGATGCTCTTACAATATGTTGACTGTTTAATTGGCAGGCGGGTGTAGTGCTTACCTATGGGTGGAAACCCTGTGGGACCTGAACTGACCTTGTAGTACTTTGGACCTGAGATGACTCTGGGACCAAATTATATCTGTTGCCTGTCTTTTAGGAAAGCTATTTTTGATACACCAGATGAAGATCCAAATTACAATCCACTACCTGAAGAACGGCCAGGAGGCTTCGCCTGGGGTGAGGGCCAGCGCCTTGGAGGTTAAAGCAGCAGTGCCAATAATGAGACCCAGCTGGGAAGGACTCAGTGATACCCACTGGGATTCTTTTATCCTTTGTTGCAAAAGTGTGGACACTTTTGACAGCTTGGCAGATTTTACCTCCAGAAGCACTTTATGAAATGGTACACTGACTAATCCAGAAGACATTTCCAGCAGTTTGCCAGTGGTTCCTCACTACGCTGGTACTGAAAGTGTAATTTCTCGGAGCCAAAAAACTGGAGAAACAAATATCCTGCCACCTCCAACAAGTACATGAGTACTTGATTTTTATGGTATAAGGCAGGGCCTTTTCTTCCTCTTGATAGATGAGGCCATGGTGTAAATGGAAGTTTCAGAGAGGACAAAATAAAACTGAATTCCATTTTTCTCTCACTGTATTAAAGCTTTTGTGTGTGATCTTTTAAATTCTGATAATGTATTGTAGCTCTCCTGCGTAGATCTGAGCTCAGAACAGTTTACACAGCTGTTCTTCTGTGTCTTCACAACTTTTAACTGGATTTCATTTCAGGATTGGAAATACGTGGCTGTCATGCTGTGGTTGTGTACATCTTACTAATTCAGAATGCAAGATTCACCAGGAAGATGATTTATTTCTGTCATCTGGATAGGTTGTTTCCATCTGGGTTTTGCAAAACTGTCAGACAATGTGGAAAAAAAGGAGGGAGGATGCTTCTTGTAGCAGTAGGAATTCAGCTATAGGAAAGTCAGCTGTAAGCTAATGTGGCATCTTATTTGCTTTGCTTACATTTCTCCATTAAGAAGTATCCAGGGAAGGATTGCTAAGGGCCACATTTTTGGAAAACTAGGAAGATTTTCATTGGACTTTTTTTTTTCTTTTCTTTTTAAAAAAGTTTTAATTAAAAAAAAATTTTTTTTTAATAGAGATGGGGTCTCACTGTGTTGCCCAGGCTGGTCTTGAACTCCTGGACTCAAGAAATCCTCCCACCTCAGCCTCCCAAAGTGCTAGGATTACAGGCATGAGCCACCCAGGCTTTTTAAAAAAAATTTTTTTGCCTTTTTTTTTTTTTAATTAAAAAAAATAGAGACAGGGTCTCAGATTTTCATTCGATTTAGAAAACAAGTTAGAATGTTGACTTTGGAGCCAGATGAACCGATACCAGTTAGCCAGGCACATGTTCTTCCAGGGTCTTTGGCTAGGTAACATTAGTGATTTGCTTCATGAAAATTCAAGAACCTTTTCAGAACCAAGTACCTAGATTACCTTCCCAATCAGGTAGAACTTAAGACAGGGTCCGCAGAAGTAGACACTTAATGCTGTGGTTCAATAAATACCTCCCCTAAGTATTAAGTCTTCCCTGAGTCTCAGCAGGTTTGCATTCACACTGCTTAAGTAACTCACAGAACCTGGAAGAGCACCGCTAGGAAAGAGATGATTCCAAACAGCTTTCATTAACAGTGTGTATGCACCAGTCCTTTTCCCAAAAGTGGACTGTTAGTAGTAGTTCAACCTTCGTTAAGGGGTAGCTTTCCAGAATGTGAGATTGTCCTCAGAAAGACAGACAGATATAGGCTTAAACATAACGGACATCCTAAATAGGAATTTTCAGATTGTTTTTGAAGTGAAAAGTGTTTTAATGTCTTTAAATGGAATTGCATAACTAATGGAATTTAAGTATTTTACATGTTGCTAGTAACTTTGAATATGATTGTTGCAATTTTATGGAACCTGGGTCTATGGGACTGCTTTTTCTTTAAGCAGTTTAAAAAAGGTTTTTAAAGTTTAAAAGCCAGTCTTAGCATGTATAATCCTTACGGGATTCTTAAGTTTTATCCTCTTGTTTTTGCTCAAGAATGCTTTATCAGTGACGTTTGTTTTGTTTTTTGTTTTTTTAAATTGTTTTTGGGCTAGAAATGAGTTTCTCTAGTTTTATTTGTTCTCCCTGAGTTGAGTTACGCAATGAATGGCATTTTTGTGGTAAAATGCTGATCCTAAAATCTATTCACTCACTGTTCATTTAAGTAGGGAATATCTGTATACGTTAATGACTGGGTAAAACAGGAAATACGTTTTGAATATACAGCCTAAAGGCAGGCAGTTACAGGGTTTTTTGGTTTCTCTGATTTTATAGGGTGCAAGTTCCCAGTGGTAGGATGCCCTGCTGTGCGACTACACTGTGTCCTGAGCAGTGTCACCTCTCATCAGTTTGGCCAGCCCTACAACCACCATGCCTAGCCCTGTGTTGCTTGAGAGGATACCTGTGCTGGAATGGACATAAGGAAAAGTCCTTACTTTCCCCCCAATTTACCTCTCTCAATCTTAGTTCTTCCAGAACACACTTCCCTTTCCCAATGCAAATAAACTAAAAGTGAGATTTGACGCATGGAATTTTGTGACCAACTAACCTTACACATAATTTGAGGGATTCCTGGATTCTTCCAGTCATACTGAAAAGCACACTTGACTAAAGCATAGTGTTTTTTGTTTGCTTGTTATGGAAATATGGTATACGTTCATTTAAAAATAAATGGACATACAAATTGCATCTCCTTAGGAGATACATTTTATATACATTTCCGTGCGTTTTTTCCAGTATGGATTTCTATTTGTTTCTCTCTTCCGCTTGTTTTTTTCTGTGTCACTCCTGTATGTCCTCTTATCTTTCATACCTCTTGTGTAGTCTCTAGAAGCAGAACACCCAAGTCCTGGGTCTGGATAATGAAACCCTCTGTCTCTGGGGCCTCTGAAAATAAGGAAGCATTGGAGCTATTGCCATGTTGAGTAATGGGCTTCCTAGAACTATTGTCATCTATCCTGCCAGGGTTTTATGTTGTAGCTGTTTTTCTTTGACAGGTGAGTTCCAGCTATGTTGTTAGTCATGATCCTGCCATTATTTTCTGTGTTCTGTAGGATGTCTCCAGACTACTTAAACATATTTTATGAGTTTGCAATAAAATTGTTGAATCTTGTATGATAAGTCACTCCTCTGCTCAGAAATCCACAGTGACTTCTTAGTAAGCCCCTATATTATATGCATACTTGTTTTTTTCTTAACTTTACTTCCACTTCTACCTAACAGGGACCTCAACTTAAGTCTCTTCAGTTCTTCCAGGCCTGGCCTTGTTCCTGATTCCTCAAAAAATCTTGACTCTAAGGCCAATTTTATTGTCTGTCTCTGAATCCCTGTAAAGCTTCAAGTCTGTATGACATATTCTTACGCCAAATTATATATTGTCTTGTACTGTTCCTAGCTGGTACATGTATATTAGTCTTGTCTCCCTCATGAGAATGTAAGCTCCTTAAGGGCAGGGACCATGTCTTAATTTTTGTATCCACCACAGTGCCTAGCACAGTGCTTGGCACATGGGTGCTGAATAAATACCTTTGTTTATTGATCAGCAAAGTATTATCTGGTATTTTTAATTATACAGGGATTAAAGTGTATGCATGCAAGCTTGAGCCTAGTTGCTGAAGCTTGTGGTTGTCTCTGAAAATGGGATAGAGGGAAACTGAACATGATCAAGGGCCGTGATTTGGTGGTCAGAAAAGCAAAGGTGACCACCAGCTGGTACGGTCATGATCAGACCAGCTAAGTCCACAGACCATCCCAAACAAGTTAAAAATGAAATGTATCTGACACTTCATCTTTTGGAGGAAGAACCCCAGGATATTCTTTGAATAGTTATTAGGTTGTCAGTATCTACATATGAAAGCTGCTAAACCCCAAGAGACTTCTTTAGGAGAAACAGCAGATTTCAGTCTACCAATGGGAGAAATGTGGGCAACATGGCTTGATGCATATATAGGACTTAATTTTTCAACTCTTTGGTCCTCTTAGCTTTGAGGCTACAAAATAGCTGGATCATTAGGCCAGAGATTATGGATGAGTTACCTGCAGATGGGTTACCTACCTATGTGCTTTTTTTTTTTTTTTTTTTTTTTAGTTTAAGCCTGTATTTAACATTGACAGATAAAAATCTTCACTTTTGGCTTTTCTTGAGAAAACTGGAAGATCTGGCAATAATAGGTCTACATGACAGCCATTGCCTAGAAATGATTAGTGGCTGCATCTAGAGGTGGCATGTGCTTCATCAAGAAATAAGTCCACCCATTTATATTACCTAAATTATTGTCATCATTAGGAACATTGGACTCCTACATTAAGTTACTCTGGAAAGCACACTGGGAAAAAGGACTGGGATGTCTTTACTTACTCAAGGTCCATAATTTGAGAGTTAACATTTATTATCCCTTGTAGTTTTGGCTTGCCTTTCTAAATATTTCAGGGTAGGAAGTGAAAATTTATCAGTTTATTCTTAAACACAAATCTGCTGCTGGCTCAACGTGCACATTTTCAGTAATGCCTGGTCACCAAACTGTCAGCAACTAGAGGAAAATTATCTCCGACCTGGAGGAAAGGGGAAGTTTTTGTTTTTAGACTAGCTTTCTCACGAATCATGGGAAGGGAGATTTTTTAACAGGTTCACATACAGGGCGAGTTTCATGGAAACGCGCTTCAGAAGATGCCCTTCACATGAGCTGAAGCCTACGGTGTACTCTGGAAATCACATTTCCTGTAAGAGCAAACAGCTACTTGGCATTCTCCTGGTAAATTAGCAAATCGTCTAAGAATTTTTAGGAGGGGAAGGAAGAATTAGTTATAATCCTACTTTTTTTTGCTGCAGTTCTGAATCTTCATTGAAGTGTCTATGATGGGGCTGCACAGCCATGTAGAGAACGTGAGAGTCTGGCTGGAATGGTTGGGGGAAAGGAAAGGTAAAAGACAATTTTAGTTTCATTGAACTCCCTCCGTCCTCTGCTTGTATTACTGGAGGCGACCACATCCTCTGGCATAGTCATTTTCTGAGTTAAATTCATGTATATCATAGAATTGGTTTTCCTTTCTGTAACACAAGATGATCACAAATCTATGACTTGGGGACATCTGAATAACTAATCTCAGATGACTCAATTTCTTTATCTGTAAATTAGAGATAATCTAATAACCAGTATCTACCACAAAACCTACAAGTTGTTTAGAGGATTAGACAATGCACGTTTGTGCTTCTCATTGATTTTACAGAATTAAGTACTTTCTTTGAAGAGTGACTGTGATTTGGACAGAGAAGGAGAAAACACGTGTTTACTGAAAAGAAGTAATGCTACTAAAAACGACGAGAAAAACCTCGTTAATCAAGACTACAGTCCCACGGAACCGTACACCCTGTGTTTCGCGGTTGTAGCTCCGGGCCTTTTCTTGGTTGTACCTCAGGCCCTGCTTTTCCCACCCCCAGGAAGTGAAAGCCTTCCCAAGCCCCCAATGCATGCTGGGAGTTGCAGTCCCTTTTCGAAAGGCTGGGGCGGCCGTGATGTCATCGGTGGTCGCCGGGAGCCGCCAGCACGTGGCGAGGAAGGGGCGGTGCGCGCCTGCTGTCTGCACCTGAGAGGGGGCAGGAGCTGCCGGCGCTTGCGCCTCCTGCTGCGGTGCCCTCCCGACATGCCGGAGGAGGCGGGCTTCCCGCCGGCCAAGAGATTCCGGCCGGGCTCTGGGCCTCCGAGCCGCTCTGGGTCCTTCCCTCCCGGGAGGCAAGTGGTGATGCTGCTGACTGCGGGCAGCGGCGGCAGAGGTGGAGGAGGAGGCCGGAGGCAGCAGCCGCCCCTGGCCCAGCCCTCGGCCAGTCCCTACCCTGAAGCTGTGGAGCTGCAGCGCCGGAGTCTGCCCATCTTCCAGGCGCGGGGACAACTGTTGGCCCAGCTCCGAAACCTGGACAACGCGGTCCTCATCGGTGAGTGGCCGCGCCAGCGGGCTCTTCCTTGCACTTCGTCCGTGGCTTAGCTAAAGCAGTTTTTCTTACATGCCTCTCAATCCCTTTCGTTCTTGGCTTCAACAAACCTGAATACCTTTTCTGGGCCAGACCTGGAGAGGGGCCTCGAAGAAGGGTCCGGCAGCCCTGCCCTGGAGGCGCTGGACAGCCCGGTGAGAGTGACCGACGTGTGTAGGCGAAGACTCACCTTCCGTGTAAAAGGATAGAGACACGTACCGGGGGCTTGCGGGGCTTAGGAGAGTGGATCTGACCCAGTTTGTGAGGAGGTGGCTGGGGAGGTCGTGTGGGAGGGAGGGCGTTCTAGGCAGGAGAGAAAGTCTTTTGAGAGATGGGAACCTGAACACATTCCGGTGGAAAGGGAAGGTGTGGTTTCTGGTGCATGAAAACAGGCAGAGTTGTTGGGCAGGGACTGATTTCAAGGGGCTTTCATCCCCCACGTGTTAGAGGAGATACTGAAGGACGGAAAGGATGAGCAGCCAAAAAGGGGAAGGAGACCCATGAGTGCTGCTAGTCAAAGGAATACAGAGTGAGCAGATGCAGCAATCCAGTCCAGTTTCACTGGACTTGGATGTGATGCCCACTGGATTTGGATGTGAGCTATTTGTAAGAGTTAAAGAAAAAGGAAAGAAACACGAGACGCGGCTGGCAATTAAAGACGGGTTTTCTTTAGTTAAAACCTGAGAGGCGCTCCTGGCCGAGTTCGGTCAGGAGCCCTTTCTCTTACAGACTTAAGAGTATATATTGGTTTTAGGGGTGAGGGCCCTTATCACAAGCTTGGAATGTTTATAGGTGTGGAGAAGTTTTTGACGGGATTGGATTCTCTTTGGGAGGAGGGGAGGTTGTCTTGGAGCAGACATCTTTCCGGCCCGGAGGGGGGTTATCTCCCGGCTAACATCTTCTTGGCCAGAGCCAGGTTATCTTGGGGCTGACATGTGTCTGGTCGGGGATGAGTTCGGAATGTTTCTGATTGGAGATGTTATTTGTGGTCTATGGTCTTGCTGACCTTAGCCATTACGCTGATGCCCTTTGGATTTGGGCTGTTTTTTAAGGTGAACTTTTGAATGAGGGGCTTGTCCAAGATGGTGATGCTCCTGCTCTGTCAATCCAGACCCTTCAGTTATAAAAAGGAGGGACGGCATGTTCTTTCTGGCTACTTCCTGTTAACGAGGGGACGGAGAGTTTCCTGGTCTCAGGTTGACTGTAGGAGCAATGCCATCTGTAGATGTTTTTGGGGAGTTTGTTTGTGAAATGGCCATGATCCTGTCAGTTAAAAATCTTTGAAAAAGGTTAATTAGGCAGGGTAAGAACATTAGTCCCTTGGCCGGGCCCGGTGGCTCACGCCTGTATCCCAGCACTTTGGGAGGCCCAGACTGGTGGATCACAAGGTCAGGAGATCGAGACCATCCTGGCTAACACCATGAAACCCCTTCTCTACTAAAAATACAAAAAACTAGCCGGGCGAGGTGGCGGGCGCCTGTAGTCCCAGCTACTCGGGAGGCTGAGGCAGGAGAATGGCTTGAACCCGGGAGGCAGAGCTTGGAGTGAGCCGAGATGGCACCACTGCACTCCAGCCTGGGTGACAAAGCCAGTCTCCATCTCAAACAAACAAAAAAGAATATTAGTCCCAGGCATAGTATTAGGAGAGAGCCCAGGAATGGGATGACGCATGCTATGATTTTGTTTTCAAACCAAGAGTCCATTTGGTTGTTTTGGTACTCCCTTAGCTTTTTAGCCTTTTTTTTTAAAGTTTTTTTAGCAGCGCTTTTTACTCGGGCCTGATTGGTTGATATAGAAACAGGCGTGAGCCCCCGTGCTGGGCCCCCTCAAAACAATTCTTTAAACTTTTAAAATAGGTAAAAATGTACATTCTTATCCCTCCTTATAATCTTTTTGCCAAAAGTGTATTTTACTTTCCTTACACACCTTGCACATAAACTGCTTCTTCATCAGTTTTAAATGCATGTTACATTGTTAACTTTTAGCAACCTTTAGCTTTGTTGAAAACCTTGGTAAGTTTGGGATTTTAATTATGCGCTAGGTGTACAGCTAGGACTTAGACAGAAGTGCAGATAAGAAGTGCTGGCTTATTTCAGCATTTAGCTCCTTGCGTCCTAGGTTTTAACCTAGCTGCAAAGCAGGCAAGTTGTACAGCTAAGAGTTGTAGTGACATTTTATAAAGCATTCAGGAAGCGTAATCACTTTTAAATTGTGAAACATTTCTTGCATAAATTTCCTTTTACAAAATTTTTCACGACTTTCACAGTCTCTGACACTATTGATCGTGGATCCCTTGGAGAGCTATTTCAACAAAGCTCTGTGGGTAACAGCTGATTTGTCATTGAGCTGAGGGCTGAAAGCAGGGGGAGCAGGCTTCTGTTTTGAGAAAAAGGAGGGAAGCTGAGAGGAACTTTACAGATGCTGCTCAATTTAGGACGGGGTTATGTGTGGACGAACCCACCCATCCTCATAAGTTGAAAATATCCTAAGTTGGAAATGCATTGAATATGCACAGCCTGCCTTCGGTGTGCTCGGAACATGTACATTAGCCTATGGTTTGGTGATATCATCTAACACAAAG